GTGATTTGAGTACAAATGTATACAATGGATTCATAGACCAAACAAGAGGCCGGATCACTCGTTTGGGGATACCCTGATCCAACGATGATGAGTCGCTATTCTATTGTTGCCTTAACTGACTATTGTTAAGCGTTTGGTTATTAATTGCCTTAAACTAATTATAGCTTAAGCATCTGGTAATTAATTGTCTTAAACTAATTATAGTTTAAGTGTTTGGTTGTCAATTGCCTTAAACTAATTATAGTTTAAGCGTCTGGTTACTAATTGCTCTTTAAGAATCTGATTATGGAAATAATGATTTGACATTAGACTAAGAATAGTTTAAGAGCATAATTATGATTTGACCTTAGACTAAGAATAGTTAAGAGCATTGTTATCATTGGCCTTAGTTTAAGAGCATAATTATGATTCACAACTTTTTTCGACGCCAAACGGTAGCACGATACCGTCCATATAGTAACCGGCTACTGCCTCAGGCGTAGGCTTCATACGGCCGACGATGTGAGCTTGTATCTTAAATTGTTGGATTTTATTGAATTATTTTCATATGTTAAGAGCTTTTTATTGAAATTTACAATTTCAATAGTTCAATAATTTTCAGAAATAGAATAATCCAATAAAAAGTCTTAGCATATAAAAAATTCAATAAAGTCCAACAAATTAATGTACAGTTCACATTTCCCTAAAAAGGTAAAATTCACGTTTAATTATTCAACAAAATCAACAAATTTCTAATAGCTGGCAAGCACAACCCTTCTTTTGTATATGCCGCATGAAATAATATTTTTTTAAATTATTAGACATATATTGGGTGCATTTAGGAAGAATGTTAAGAGTATCCCACATCGGAAAAGTGTGAGGAAAATAATCGGTATATAAGCTCTTGAGTTGAACTCACTAATCGATTGGATTCAATCTTTTAATGTGGTTCAACCCAAATGTCTTATTACTCAGTCCAGTTGTCCATACCCATCCCAAATTCTATCATTATATCAAAGCAAGTTTTGGCCCACCCAAGTTTTATAACGATTAACATTCATTGAATGTAATAAGACCAAATAGTGTAGCGTGATGGATCATACCCATCACGCTATCGCACTCAGCGCCACGTTAGCCTTTCTCTTTCCCACCACAATTATATCACACCGCAGGAGTGTGGATCATATTCATCACGCTTAACTTTTTTAATTTTTTTTAAAATATATTTGAATGAAAATAACTTAAAAGAAAGCCGTTAAATAAATATTTTATTAAAATTCAAATTTAAAATTGCATTGACATAATATTTAAAAAATGAAATAAGAGCAATACAATATGAAATTGAATTAAAAAATAACTACTTGATTAAAACATCGAAGATATGTTAGTTCCAAGGGTTGTTCTCTATGCACTTGGTGTAGTTGAGTTGTATAGCTCGTGTTGGCATTATTTTTTGACAAATAGAGGATCTATTAGTTCCACGAAGTCATAAACTTGTTTTTTGCTGATGACCTTATAGTTGCCAGTAAAGCTGATACTGGGATTATTCAAAGCATTATGAATACTCTAGAGATTTTCAAGAAAAGCACAGGACTCGAGACCAAAGGGAAAGATTCAAGATAGAATTCTAGATATTTCAGAAATACCAAAGGGAGAGCTTCCTTTTAGGTACTTGGGGAGTCCAATCATTGCCTCCACACTCAACAGCAGCATAGATTGTGATAAACTAGTGGAGAGTGTAACTACAAAGATCACTGCATGAAACTCCAAACATATATCCTATGCAGGAAGGGTTAATCTGATCAATTCAGTATTGTTGGGGGTGATCACTTTTTGGGCTAGGATCTTTATACTTCCCAAAAAAAATGTAATGAAGAAAATAAACACTGTTTGCATGAACTTCCATTGGAGTGCTTCAGCTGAATATAAAAGAGCCCCTCCAGCCCAATGGGATGACATTTGTCCATCAAAAGAGTTTGGGGGGCTAGGATTAAGAAACTGTTGGAATAAAGTGTATTAACTAGCTCAATTTTATGAACTCATACATATAGAAAATGAAAAACAAGAATCGAAATATCTTCTTAACTAACAAACTATGTAACTAATCAGGTAAACAAATGCTAAATGGTGGTTTACACCAACACCCCCCCCCCCCTCGAGTTGAAGGTGGGAACACTTCA